CTCTCATTTTTCTTATTGTTACTAAGTCTTCTTTTGAATATTTTCTTCCTCCTTGCATTTTATCTCGCAACGAGATTTTTCTTTCATCTACTTCTGGTTTGAATTTAAAGTTTACTGGTGTTATCACATTTGGGTCTACAAATGTGTGAAATTCTTCTTTTTCTCTAAACACATCGACATATTTTGTTAAAATATGTCCGATTAATTTCCATACTTCTGGTTCTCCAGTTTCAAGACAGCGGTCTTGAAGGATCTTTATTCTTTTCTTTTCATTTTCGACGGGTTCGTCGAAATTTGGTAATTTTTGAAGAAAATTTTGATTAATTTTCAGTTCAAAATTCTTCTATTTTTTCGCGTCAAAATTTTTAATTTTGACTTTCTTTCCATTTGCTATATGTTGTCCTTTTCTTATTTCAAATTTTTTATTTGAATAATTCATTATTGTAATATATTTTTCATTTGCTATTCCAGGCTGCACAATTACCACTTCTTTGGTTTCTTTAGCTGTGGTCCCTATATAAAGGTTTTCGTTTGTTGGTTTTTGAATTTTGATATGCCCTATAGTCATAGGGGGTATATTTGTTTCTTTGTTTGCTAATACTTTGTATTTAGCATTTTTTCCTTCCCTTACAGTTGGTAATATAATATGTCTAATATAGGTAGGATATTATTCTTTTATTTCTTTATAGAAATTTGCATTAATATCAGTTATTTCAGATATATTTTCTAGTACACCATATTCTTGTTCGGGTTCTGATTCTGAATCTACTTCTGTTTGATGATTAGCTAGGTCTTCTAATTCTGCTTCTATTCTTTCATTTTCAAACCATGCTTGTGCTGGATCTTTATACTTATATGCTTGTCTCTATTCTTCATCTGTTAATGCTGATCGTCCAGTTGGTACTGGGTATAGGACTTTTTCTCTGTTCCATTCAGATTCTATAGTTCGTGTCCATTTAGTTTCTTTAGGTTCATACCGTAAACTTGATCCTCCTGCTTCGTATTCGTCATTTGGATCATATAATTCTCCTTGTCGTTTATAGTTTTGTTGACTATAATCATTATAGTCATTTGTATCGTCTAGGATATAGTCATCTAGTTCAGCCATTTGTTGTGCTTCTTCTGGTGTTAATTGTTCTTGTTCTGTTTGCCTGAATAGTTCTTGTCTAAGTTGATTTTCTCTTCTAAATTGTTCTAATCTAGAGTTTCTTGTAGAAGATTGATTTGAATATTGTGACCTTTGTCTCTTGTGACCATATTTAGGTAATTTTGGTTGGTTTTCATCGTCGTTATCACTTGTTGGTGCATAAAAACTGCTTGATTCTGATATTATATCAGTTGGTTGAACTTCTTTTATCAGTGGTGACGGTTTATGTTGGTGTTGTTTAGAGTGAGATAATGATTGTGTTGATTGCATTGAGTTTCTCCTACTTAGCATTTGTTGTGCTGCACTTAGAGTGCCTTGTACCATTCTTTTTGCTTTGTCAAGGAATGTTGGTGACGTCAGTGAACTTGGTCTGGTAGAGGTTCTTGATATTGATTGTTCTGGTATTCTTGAATACTGGTTTTCATCTTGTTCTTTTATCCATTCTACTGTTCGTCCGAAGTTGTGATCTAATAGCCATCTGTCTTCTAGTGTTTCAACGTCTCATGGTTTATTTTCTGTTGGTCTGTATTCTTTGTGATATGGATTTTTTAATGGTAATGTTTCTGGTAATTCTAAGCCTTTTCTTCTGACCTGTATTT